CTTATAAAAATGGCTAATAATTTCACTATTTCTTTTTATGTGGAAAAAGCTTAAAGGGATGTATATTTAATGAGTAATAAGCACAATTTTTTTTGTAATGAGCATGCATAATTTTTGTAAACAAAAGAAACATTTTGTAATTGCCAAGGTTAGGCCTTTTGAGGGCCTTGATTAGCACAAAAACAGTAGGAACTGTACAACCAGTTAAAGGATGTGGGTGACTGAATCACAGAGAGAAATCTGGGAGTCTTGGATTTGGCACAATGCCTCCTACATCTTGATTAAGGTGAGTAGGGGTGTTATCAATGACTGGGATAAGGAAAAATGCCCTGAAGATCAATTTGGCAATCCAGGTGGTAGAATCCAGTTACTGAATGTATACAAACAAACCCACTGTGACATCCACAGTTCTCAAGTCCCTAAGTAAACCACATCCACAAAAGACATGGAGGCATTGCCAATGAGGAATGAAGGTTTAGCGTGGTATTGGATAATAAGTTTTTGAATTGGCTAAAATAGCAAATAAATGATTAGTTTTTCCTACTTCAAAAACTTAGAGGCATAATTATCATCATTGGATTCTTGGCCTTCAAATTCTATTTGAATGACATTTGATCATGATGTTCTACATTCCCACTTCTGTGTCTCCGTCTTGTGGTAGGTTTTTCCAACCCACAGAAACCAACAGTATCTTCCAGGTCTTCCTAGTTATTCACATATATATTCATATATGTATGACTTATCTTTCTCATAAGTATATATGAATCTATATGCATATATATCTATACACATACTAATAGCTAACATCTATCAAGTGCTCCCTCTGCTTGTCAAACATGGTTCCAAGCACTTCACATGCATTATTCCTTATCATCCTCACTACAACCCAGTGATGTAGGCACTGTTATTATTTCCATTTTAAAGATCAGGAAACTGAGGGGTTAGAAGGCTATGTAACATGCCCAAGGCCTTAGAAGGAGTACATGTAGAGCTGGATTCCTGACTCTGCTCTCTTAATAACCACACTCACATCTCAAAAAGCATCTAGAAGATATGTACCAACTTGTTAAATAATTACCTAATGAGGTTGGGGTTGTAGGGAAACCTGTACTTCCTATTTTTCTCTGTTTTTAGATTTCTAGCAATATCAATATTACATCTTAACTGGAAAAAATGTTTTCAAATTACCATCAATTATGTCATTTTCTTAACTTTACTGCATGTTGTGGTGCACTACTATATTGCCATATGCTAGACTTTGTATTGGATGCAAGAATAAAAATGACGAGGTTCCTGTCCTCAAGGTGCTCACTGTCCAAATTGTTACATTATCTAGAGGACTTTTTTTAGTAACCCCAGCCCTCCTTTCATTCTTACCCTCTGCTTTGTCCTACCCATATGCCTAATGCTCTTGATATGATGGAGAGCTTGACATTCCCAAAGTGTATGATTCACTTTTAGGCCCCTAAGCCTTTGCTCATGAAGTTCCATATTCTGTGGAATGAGTAGGAATTCATCTGGAAGAACTACTCAAGCTTGAAAGCTACTGCCATGGTGAAGTCTTTTCACAAATTTCTAATCTTAAAAAGTTTTAAATATGTATTCAGTGCAATCATGAGCGTAGTTCAAATAAGTAGTGCTGAAGTACTAAAAAAGAAAAGCAAGTCTTCCACCTCAGCCCACCCAATCCCAATGTCAACCTCAACCTCAAGCTCATCGCCATTCTCCGAACTCTGAATGGTTTCTGTTTTTAGATTTCTGGTAGTGATCTCCATGTTTCCAAAATAACATGCTATCTTATTATTTCTTGATATATCATCTTAGGCCCTATCTATCTAATTTTTCCTAAGAGAAATGAAGATTTAACTCATATACACGCTGGTCTTATCTCCTCCCTAACCTCATAATAGAGATACATCTGTATGCTCAGCCCTACACTGCTCTCTCCTCTGTACATCCAGACCTTTTTATCCTCTTCTGTCAACCAGACAGTATCTTTTGACTGTCACTTTCTAAAATGGGAACCTTAGTACCCCACCCTTCTCTCCACCCTGCTCCTGCTCCTACCCCTTTCTACCTATTGACGTTTACACTGTGCATTAAAATAGTTAATTATATTTACATTTTCTTTTATAGTCATAGTTCTTCTTTGACTTGTTTATGAGGTGAATCTAAAAACAAAAAAACCAATAGGCAGCGTTTCTGCTATTAGACTATGTGACTATTGCGCCCTATAATCTAGGGGAGGGCTTGATTATGCTTTCTGCTCTGGGTCATTTGGAGAACATTCAGATTTCAGATTTAAATAGGATCTCGTGTTTAAGACACCACTAGTAGCTCAAAATCAATTCATTTTAGGTACATCACACTTGCATCAGGCCTTTCCTGGACATTTTCTCTCTTGAAGATCCTAGTTTTAATTTTAACTTTATATTTTAGATGGAAATAATTTAACCATAAATTTTTTTTTCTTTGCATTCTGTCACCTTCTAACAACCTCAAGGGTTTCCAAGTTCCTAGTCATGCTTTTGATTTTATTGAACTCTATTTCTCCCTCCAGTCTTCCTACTGCAATCAGGATGAGTTGCTTCCTAGCCTCGGCACTCCTACCATTCTGGGACCTCTCCTGCTTATCCGAGTTGGAGCCACTTTTCTTTGGGTCCCACACAGTGAGGTGTCCTTGACTCCCACATCTTAGGATAATTAGTAACTCACCTTGCTGAACTCCCACAGTACTCTGTATTTGCCTAATAGGGTAGCACTTTACGTTGTTTTTCCCTTATCTTCCAGGGATGGACTGTGTCTTATTCATCCTTGAAATGGTACCTGACATACAGCTGGTCCTCACCTCAATTAACACTATTCTAATTTAAAGAAACATCGAGCACGTGGCAAGGCACAGTGGCTCACACCTGTAATCCCAGCACTGATGCAGGAAGATCACTTGAGCCTAGGAGTTCAGGACCAACCTGGGCAACACAGTGAGACACCGTCTCTACAAAAAATACAAATAAAAATTTAGCCTGGTGTGGTGGTATGTGTCTGTGATCCCAGCTACTTGGGAAGCTAAGGTAGGAGGATTTCTTAAGCCTGGGAGGTCAAGGCTGCAGTGAGCTGTGATCACGCCACTGCACTCCAGGCTGGGTGATGGATTGAGACCACGTCTTTAAACAAACAAACAACAACACCAGAAAAGAAAAAGAAATTGAGCACATTATTACAATTTACTGTAACATCTTGATTGAAGGGAAGAGCTGAGCCATCAGTTTCACTCATATTAAACAGGAAATAAGTACTGCTATTTCGATGGGAAATGAGAGGAGGAATTAAGTAAGAAATAGAATAACAAAGAACCAACTTATGAAAACTAAAACATAACCCATATCAGTCTCATCTTATAATCTGTTCGTCTGTGTTGACTTATCCACTTGGAATGTGAGAAATATTCTTTATTAATTCCACTTACTGGGTTGCCAGATATAACACAGGAAGCCCAGTTAAATCTGAATTTCAGATAAACAATAAATGACTTTTTAGTATACGTCCCCAATATTGCACGAGACGTATTTATACTAAAACACTATTTGTTGTTTATCTGAAATTCAAATTTCACCGAGTGTTCTGCATTTTTATTTGCTAAATCTGGGCACTCTTCACTGGGCACCTTCTCAGAGCACTAACCAGTCAAATGCCAACTGCTGTGGGACTGCTCCGAGAATATGGCCTAATGACAATGGAAGATGACATGTTGCTGGCAATGAGAGAAGTCAACATAATGGGTATACTTGTTTTTAGGAGTTGTTCTCAAAGCTTACCACCTTTTTAGTGTGGTGTTAGGTCTTCAACTTCAACTTCATCTTCATCTTTGCCGTAAAGTCAAAGGAAGACATGAGAGATCTCTTTGGTAGGGCATAATATAGCCTTTTAAATTGATATTTGTCGGCCATTTGTTTTACAGGGAATTAGTCCAGGAAGTACAAGACAATGCCACTGGACAGATAATTTCATTTAAAAATTTTTAAAAAACTATTGTTAGTTTAAATGAGTCACTGCTTCATTAAGCTGTTAATATTAGATAACACACATTGAATGGATGTTTCCCATAGGCCAAGCTCTGTCCTAAGCATTTCACATGTATTCACATTTCATGCCCACAAGCTGCCTCTGACCGACTGATTTTGATTTTCTTGATTTTATGGATGAGGAAACTGAGAAGGAGAGATGATGAACTTTCCCAAGGTCACACCACTCATAAGTGGGGGAAACAAGCTAAAACTCAGGCCGTGTTACTGCAGAGTACTCAAAATCAAAATAAACAAAATTTCATCTCCAGTTCTGGCACCTCACCAAAAAACAAACCACGATTTAAAAATATAAAATTTTAATAACACCACACATAAATTTCAAACTACTTTTCCCGAATTTGTAACTGAAGTTTTAAGCAAGTGTGTTTTTAATTTATTAGAAAGTGGATTGAAGAGAAAGCACTGGAAAATGAAGGAAGGAGTTTCAGCTAAACCCCGAATAAAACTGTGTTCAACTGAGCTATAGAACGGCTCCTTCTAGCTCCATTTCTCCTCAGACCATGAGTGCTACTCCTGATTGCCCTGCATTGTCATTTCCAGGGAGAAATGACACCGACACAGTGCCAGGCCTTCCAATCTGAAGCGCGGCCCACAGCACTGCTGAATTGGTGCTCGGTGTACAACGTGCCGGAGTGCGGAAAATGCGCAGCGCACTGCGGATTATAGAAGGTCGGAGGAATTCAGTGTATTCAGAGAGCGTGATGAAACAAGCAAAACCGGCCTGATGTGGGGCGAATTCAGCCGGGAACAAATCTGATCGTATCAGGTCTGCGGACCGGAGCTGGCAAGCGAGGCACCACCCGGGCACTACCTGGCTTCGTCCCAGCTGGCTAAGTTAATTGCGGGTCCAGGTGGGTGAGGAGGGTGCCGGGTGCGCCCGAGCGCCTTCGCGTCGGAGCCGCCGCAGCTAGTGGGAGGCCGAGGCTCCTCCCCGCTCCCTCCTCCGGCAGCGGCCGGGAAGGAGAGGGTCCGGGCCACAAAGCCGCGCGGGGCGGGCCCAAGACACAGTCGGCGTGCAGCCCACCTGCCGGACGGAGCTGCTCTGCCGGCAACCACGGGGACAGCAGCTGGCCGGAGACTCGCAGTGCTGGCGGCAAGAGGCGGTCGGGTTTGGAGCGCTCGGGTCGCTTCGGTGCGCGGTGGAACGCGCCCAGAGACTCGGGTTCCCGCGAGCAGTGCCGCGCAGCACCGCGCCGCGCTTGGGTGAGGAGGTGCCCCGGGGCCCAGGCGGGAGCGGGAGCGGGAGCGGGAGCGGGAGGAAGGGGGCGGGGCGCGCCGGGCGCGGGAGGCACTGTCGGCTAGGTGGAGGCAGGGACCCCGGGCCGGGGTGGACTTAGCTGAGCCGCACCCGCCCTGCAGGCCATTCCTGGACTCGCCGACCCTGCTGCCCTAGGAAACAGCGCTAGGATCCTCGTGCGGAGACCTGGGGAGGGTGACGAGATTCGACATCAGTTCTCCCAAACCTTTTCCCGAAGGGAAGGAAGCAACTCCAAGAACTCGGAGCTAGGGGCAGAGTCAGGCCCTCTCTCCCTCCCTCCCTCCCTCTCTCTCTCTCTCTCTCTCTCTCTCTCTCTCTGTCTCTCTCTCTCTCTCTCCTCTCTCTGTTCAGAGAATTGGAAACTCTTAACTAAGAGTTACCAATAAAACAAGTCATCACAGAATGCAGGGAAATTACTTCTAAAATAATAGCTGGCTTAATTTCTAAAGTTGAATATGCTCAGATAAAAATTCCAAAAATAAAATAATTAAAGCTGGGAATGAGAAAAAAATAAATATTTTGGACAGATTTGCCTTTGTCCTGGCTGTGGCCATGCACATGTCTGTGACTGCAAAGATTTATAGATAATTGAAAATATCTCTATGGCAGCAACATTTCTGGAGAAGGCTGTGGACCAGAGTTGAATAGGGTTGTTTCCCTTAGTGAAGCATTCTCTCTCAGAGGAAGGTCTTGCATTTTCCCTCATTGATCACTAAGTTCTAGAGAGTCAGGAAGCTTTAAAGTTGTTTACCAACTAGGGTGGCGATGTTCTTCACAGAGATAGGACAAGTAACGCATTGAGACAACTCTATTTCTCTTTCTTGTCTGGTTTTGATGTGCAACTTACTAAAAGGAGATACGCCTGCTTAGAGGAAAACAAGCCCTTCCTCATTTATATTGTGTGCAGTAGAAATGTCAGCTCGTGACTTAATAGTCTCTATTACATGTTAACTTGCCAGATCCCCTGAATTATTTACTGGTCAGTGTGTCTGAATTTCAGCTTGAAGTGGCCAGTCTGGTGATTCAAATTGCAGACAAAATGTGATAGTAATTCTGGGAGCTGTATGATTTATCTGTTACCATATCTACCACCATATTTCCCTTAGGGTTGGGGAGTGGGGTGGTTGGGGCATCATTAAGGGAGAGGTTACATGTCTCCTTGAAGCCAGAAATCATTTGTTTGACTCATGTTTTGAAATGTTGAATCAGTTGCTCCGTTAAAAGTCAGTGGATATTACATCCGAATGTAATTGTCCAGCTTTTCTTAGAAACAACCGGTTGATCTAGTGACACGGAGCTGCCATTCTTACATGGAAGCCATTAACTGGAATAGAGTGCTAGTCGCCTCCTTTGGATGATCCAGTCTGCCGCAATCCACACCAATCTTTATTCTATTGCATGGACCTGTTTGATTGATTTAAATTACCTGACTGGCCCTTGTAGACTTTTGATTTTTAACTTCAGGTTTAGGGCAATCAAGTGCAGCTTGTCTGTTAACACTTTCACCCTCATCTAATGCAAGAATCTCTATTCCAGGAATCTCTACCCCTGCTAGTAGTCCCCAGACCTGTACTTTCACTGCTCCTCCGATAAACAGGATATTGCTAATTGTTGAAAAGCTCCTGTTGATGGAGCTGTGCAATCTGGGCCCACATAGAACATGTTTAGGACCTTTTTGCACAGAACTATGGCTGTCACATGCTGTCTGAGTTTTCCCCATAGTAAACATTCCTCATTTGTTCAGCAGCTCCTCCTGTGACTTGCTGCCTTGTTCCCTCATCATTCTGGTTATTTTGGGGTTATTGTCTCTTGGCATGAACCTTTACTTGTTAAAAGACTTAAAGCCCCACCAATTCAACAAGATGTGGTCTAACTGGTGTAGAATGCAGTGGGAGGCTGGCCTCCTATTCTCTAAGATGTTATACTTTTTTCTTATAACTGAAGATGTCTTTAGATTTTTCTTGGCCAATCCATTGTGTTTTTAAATTTACTTTCAGGGCTTATTTTCCAGTTAGATTCTTCCTGATCATTAACTGTTCAATATACAGCTTGAGAGCAATGGTTTTCAGCTGAAGATGATTTTTGCCCCCACTCCAGGGGACATTTGGCAATGTCTGGAGACATACTATTTAGTTGCCACAACTGGGGTGTGCCAATGGCATCTAGTGGATAGAGGCCAGGGATGCTGCTAAACACCCTGCAATGCATAGGACAGCTCCCACAACCAAGACTTATCAGCCCCAAGTGTCAGTAGGGCCGAGCTTAAGACTTCCTACTTTAGAGTCAGGGTCTAGGTTCAGATCCTGATTTAGCTACTTCCTGTCTCTGTGACCTTGGGCATGTTATTTAACCTCTTTGTCTTCATTTTCTCAGCTGTATATTGAAGAACTCTGAGGACTAAATGAGTTCATTTATATTTTTAGAAGGGTACCTACCACAGAGTAAGTTATCATGATTGCTAACTGTCGTACAAACACTATCTTATTTTTCTTCCTTATTTTATTCATTTTAGTTTGTACATATGACATCAGATAAGTGGGTGGGTAAAGTTTGAGGCATAGCACTTCATTTCTAATCTTGCCTGTGGAATGGGCACTGGTGCATTTGGATGTTTTAGGGAGCTAACAGCTCTTCTCAGAACTGCATTCCCTCCATGGCCTCCATTATCATTTTTCCTGCTTCTTTCAGTATTTTCTGCTGTATTGGGCCATGTATGTCAGTTTAATACTGCAGCCTCCTGGAGAACATGGACACTGAGTTTGTTAGCGGGAGAGAATCTGTGCCTGTTGCTTGTACACTCCGTGTCCGGTGCCCCCCAGGTTCCTCCACACCCCAGTCACTGTGGCTTGCACCTGCACAACAGATTCCTGGGCTGAGCAGCAATTGGTAGACTTTGGGTAATAGTAATAGCATTCCTCCAAGGGCTCATATCCCCATAACTACCCCATTATCGGGGTTCCCCTTTCACAGATGAGGAGAGAAAAGCAGAAATTAGGCAAGAACTTAACTGCAGTCACGAAACTAGTAAGCAGCAGATTCAAGATTCAAACCTTGGCAGCCAGAAACTGGAGCTGGATTTCTAAACCACTTTATTATTCTAACACAAGGTAAGTTTTCTCAAGAAATATACCCATGACCTTAACCTAACCACCATGTAGCTATTTATGCATACAACAGTCAACAGATCCACTTACTTTTACTATTGTGAGTAATTTGCATACATGGGGTGTGTGTATTTGTGTGTATGTGTGTTTCTTTTTCTTCCACTGTGTTTCATCTGTTAAGGGCAGGGGTTGATTGTGACTTTCATTTTTCATAATGCAGGGATCTCTAATCCTTTAAGGAGAAGCCACAGTTACTCTAGAAAAATCATTCTTCTGAAGCTTTAAACTCATTGTAAGGCTGTAGAGAAGACAGTAGCTGAGGTCACAGTGCCAGGTTGGCCTATCTAGGCAGGCAGATTGGAGGATTGAATCTTAAGAGTAAGATCAAGAACTTTCAGTATAGCAGCAAGCTGTCCAGTGATCTTAGACAATTTTTACCTTTTATGACTTTTAAGCCATATAGAACACCAAACATCTGGACATTTGCACATTAGATGCGGATTAGTTCCAATTTCCAAAATCGTGAGTAGAATCAATTAATTATTTGTTACTTGCAGGTTTTCAGTACAGTACTTGTACTTATAAATGACTGTGTTATTAAACTACTTCCACAATAGGGAACTGTTTCTTATTTTGCTCTTTTGACCGTACTTCTTTTCTTAGGTTGTGAAATGATTATGCAAGAGTTGTGGCTACTGTCCCCCATATAAGAGGCTTTGGACACTTCTGCAGAAGTCACTTGAGTGCTATACATTTGAGATAATGTCCAAGTAGCTAATATGGTAGAGAGAAAATAATAAGAGTAGATATTATCTTTTCTCTTTCTTGGTTTCAAATTAGCAAGTATTGAGCAGGAAAGTTTTTGCAGATACTTTTAAAGAGAATCATATATCTTACATAAAGATGGGACCTGAGAGTTCAACCACACTCATCCCTTTTTCAGCATCCCTGGCAGGGAGTTATTTAGCAGTGTTTGAGTTTTCATGATAGAGAAAGCTACACTGTGAGGTAGACGTCACAACTGAGTTAATTATCAAAATGTTCTTCCTTTTATTTCTCATGCGTCTACCTCCCTAGAATGTTTAATAAGGAATACCTTCCTTATTAAACAAGGATAGAGTTGCCCAGCATTTTCTTAGACCAGGGTTTCTCAACCTCAGCATTTTTGACATTTCGAGATTCCTCTATGATGTAGGGCTGTCCTGTGTACTACAGAATGCTTAACAGCATCCCTAACTGCTACTCACTAGATGCCAGTAGCAGCCCCCTCCTGGTTGTGGCAATGAAAAATATCTCCAGACATTACTAAGTGTTTTCTGGGGGACAAAATTGCCTTAGTTGAGACACTGTTGTACAGTGATGTTCTAGCTGCATTCTCCAGCCTTCATCCTATTGTAAAATATCCAAAGAAGATTTTGTCTTCTTCAGCAATCATTTGGTCTGGTAGTGGGCCAGTTTTGAGGTACTTCAGCCACTTTCTTTGACTTTAGTAGAAACTGAATTGGCCTATTATTTGCTCTTTGTCTCATTCGGTTACTTTATATGTTCCATATTAGTTTTCTATTGCTGCTCTAAAAATTTACTACAAATTTAGTCGCTTAAAGCAACACAATTTATTATCTCATGGTTCTGAAAGTCAGAAGTCTGACACAGCTTTACTAGGCTAAAATAGAAGGTTCAGTGAAACTTCAGGAGTCAGCAAGGCTGTGTTGCTTTCTTAAGGCTCTAGAGATAATCTGTCGTCTTACCTTTCCAAGATCCTAGAGGCCACCTGCATATCATAGCTTATGCCCACTTCCTTCATTTTCAAAGTCAGTCATGGTGGGTTGAGTTCTCACATCATTTGGACCTCTTATTCTGCCATCCTCTTATACTTTTAAGGACTCTTGTGATTACATTAGGCCAGATAATCCATAATAATCTCCCTATTTCTAAGGTTAACTGGTTAGCAACATTAATTCCATCTGCATCTTAATTCTTTTTGCCTGGAACGTAACATATTAGCATGTTCTGAGGTTTAGAATATGGATATTTAGGTGGAGTGCATTATTCAGCCTGTCACATGCTCCCATTCCAAAGGTCAGTCAAGAAGAATTTGGAAAGAGAGTACTGATACTTAACAAATGAGCATTTTCTTTTCTGACTCTTTACCAATAACACAAGAGTTAAGGCCTGTCTGTCCTAATCTCTTGCCAGGACTATGTTTTACTTGGTTGGTTTGTCAGGTCTTCAGAGAAATTCCAGACTTGAGATTGGACATTTTACCTATTGTTTTGGTTTGTCTTTTGTTTCAAAAAGGGAAATGATGCCTGATGAGAATTTAACAGTGACAAATAGGGGAAATCAGGATTTGTGGCAGTCTTGGTTGTATATGGAGATCGCAACTGAGATCTGAAGAACAGGTAGAAAACTGTGGTTTCAGTGGGAACAATGAAGTGTACAGGAGAGAGGCAGAAAGGTGAAGTCCATTTAAATGGAATGCATTATCTGAGTGCTCATTGAAAGTCTTCTTGTCAGGATGATATTTTATCTAGTGGTCAAGGGGCAAAATTAAAGATAGTTATTTTCAGGCCTTGCTATTTGAAGAAAATTATTGATTTTTAAAGTGAACATTCCCATTGATTTAGAATATTGGACAAGAGAAAAGTAGGAAAAATATTTAAAAATTACCTTTATTTCTAACTATATGAAACTCTCCAAAGGAGATAAACTTTGCAAACATTTTTTTTAATATTTATTTTTATTCCTCCTCGTCCCCCTCTTCTTTCTCTTCTTATTCCTCTTTCTCTCCTCCTCCTCCTCCTCCTTCTTCTTCAATATCTGGAATCGTGGATAATTTTCTTAATTCTCTACATGGCATTTTACTTGATATTAAACATAAGCACTCTTCATGATCATACAAACACTTTTGATTGCCAGGATGATATTTATCTAGTGGTCAAAGGCCCAAATTGAAGATAATTAGTTCCAAGAATCTAGAGGCCACCCACATATCATAGCTCATGCCCACTTCCTTCATTTTTAAACCCAGCCATGGTGGGTTAGTTCTCATATCACGTCATTCGGACCTCTTCTTCTGCCATCCTCTTATAATTTGAAGGACGCTTGTGATTACACTAGGCCAGATAATCCACGATAATCTCCCTATTTTAAGGTCAACTGATTAGCAACATTAATTCCATCTGCATCTTAATTCCCTTTTGCCATGGAACATAACATAATTCGCATGTTCCAGGGTTAAATGTCCTTTTAAAAATTATTTATTAGTAAATGAATAAATTTTACACTAAAAAGTGGGAAAAACACCCATAAGTCCATCACCCCTCTTTATATTAATTGTTTTTTTTCTTTTTTTTGAGACAGAGTTTCACTCTTGTTACCCAGGCTGGAGTGCAATGGCGCGATCTCGGCTCACCACAACCTCCGCCTCCTAGGTTCAGGCAATTCTCCTGCCTCAGCCTCCTGAGTAGCTGGGATTACAGGCATGCACCACCATGCCCAGCTAATTTTTTGTAGTTTTAGTAGAGACGGGGTTTCACCGTGTTGACCAGGATGGTCTCGATCTCTTGACCTCGTGATCCACCCGCCTCAGCCTCCCAAAGTGCTGGGATTACAGGCGTGAACCACTGTGCCCGGCCTATTAATTGTTTTTTACATCATAATTTTATATATTTTTAAATTAAAATTGCATTGTAGATAGTTAATGTTGTGAATATCACGTCAATAACAGAATAAAAATCCCATTGATTATATCCTCTGACATTTGTAGGGTTTCCATTGTAAGTATATGTATGTGTATGTGTTAGCTCTTAGAGTTGGAATAAACGTTGTAGTGCATCAAGGTTTTAGTTTTCCTGCATGTAAGATATTTTTGTGCTAACCCCAGAAATTTAATTAAAAGGCCAATTAAGGGTGTGGACAATTTAAGGCTTGCCAAATTGCCTTCCTGAAATCAGTGTATCTATTTATAAATCCACTGGCATTGCTGACTTTGTTTTGGTAAACTTTGCAGTTTTAAAACATAAGTCCTGTGTTCCTAGACTCTGGTTTACTAATTATTGATCTGTTTGACCAGTTACATGTTTCTCAAATAAAATTTTGTCTGGGTGGGGTGGCTCGAGCCTGTAATCCCAGCAGTTTGGGAGGCAGAAGGGGATGGATCACCTGAGGTCAAGAGTTTGTGACTGGCCTAGTCAACATGGCGAAATCCTGTCTCTACTAAAAATATAAAAATTAGCCAGGCATTGTGGTGGGTGCCTATAGTCCCAGCTACTATGGAGGCTAATGCAGGAGAATGGCTTGAACCTGGAAGGTGGAGGTTGCAGTGAGCCAGTGGTGCCATTGCTCTCCAGCCTGGGTGACAGAGTGAGACTCTGTCTCAAAAAAAAAAAAAAAGAAAGAAAAAATTTTGTATTTTTGTATTGACCAGTGATTGTGGTTATGGTGATACATTTTCATACAATGTGATAATGAAGACTGCTATATCAAGGGTTTCAGTGTAGTCACTTTGGATTCTCTGTTTCTAAGAGAATGTCTAAAGTTACCATTAGGCTTTTCAGGGTCCTAGCTCTTAAATATAAATACATTTCTAGGTAACTCGTATCCCATGGTTGACAAAAGGGCACTTATCTGTGGAAAGAGAACTTTAAAAGTTAAAAGACATTTTATGAATTATTCCTATGTGTTCATATTCAGAAGCTTCTGTGGTCATTGTGATTATTACATGTTAATATGGTTCCTGGTTCATAACTCCCATGGCCCTTGCTACAGTCTTTTGCTATAACATTGGAGTGCTTTAGGCCTCAGGAGCAAGTCTCAGAAAATAGAATGTTTCTTTCTGACCTTTTCCTGCCTTCCTTTCACCTGTCCAAGGCAGGACTTTAATCTGATCGTAGGTTATAAGACCCTCATTCCGGGAGGGCTCCTCTTACCCTGTAGGAAGGAATGCTGCACAGAGGGACCAAAAAGAATCTGAACAGACAGGCCTTGCTGGGTTTATTCTCTTATTCTATTAGCATTATAGCTTACCCTTATTGTCCAGTCATCTTTCTACACAGCTGTTCATACTTTGTTGAACCTATGCATAAAAATAAGACAATTTTCCCTGTATCTTTGGGTCTTCATTGTGAAGGATCCTTGTCAATACACATTGAATGAATAATCTGTCTTTTATGAATTGATTTCTGAGTGAACCTTCAGAAGTTCAAGGGAATGCCACCCATGCCCCCCTTGGCCTCTGCAGTGTGCATGTATTCAAGCCAAGAAATACCTCTGGAAAAAAATCTGCTAACAAGTCGTTATTTATGAAGAGACAACTCAATTTACCTTTTCCTGTTATGTTTGGATTTTTGAGATCATGTATTAACTTTATAGTAAAATTAAATATTATACTGAAATAAGATCAAATAAAATCAACCCAAACTATAAATAATCTTAACCTTTTTTTCTGATCAAAAGGAAGATGTTGAATAGGGAAATATAGTCCCTCTGCAAGTAGTTGAAGAAGTTTGGAGCCCCAGCAACACATTTCCCAGCTGCCTCTCTGGGTCTTTATAGCCTGTGCAATAGGAGCTCCCCTTACTACAGCCCCATCTCTTTGAAATCTTTCTCTCTGAATTCCTGTTGCTCTCAGAACTTGTACCGTATCATTTAAGAATTATAAAATGCCCCTGTAATTTGCTTTCTTCCTATATTATATTATTAATGTATGCTAGTCTTGTCTCTGAAACACAATTGTAAACTCTCTGAGAGTAGGAATTGTATCAAATTCTCTGGCACTTACCATAATTGTTGCCATAGGAGAGGGCATATAGTATTTGCTTAAGAAATACCCTTTGATTGAATGACTGCAGATCTGCTATTATTCAGGATCAGCCATGCTGTGCTGCAGTAAGGCAATAACAGCTTCATCTGGCTTAACACAGCAAAGGTTTATTTCCTGTTTGTGAAAGGTCATTTGAATTGGCAGGGGCTCTTCTCTGTTCAGTAAGTAGGCATACAGGCTTCTTTCACTTCAAGACTCCACTACATCAGCACGTGATTTCTAAGTTTGCTGTGTGAGGGAAAGGAAGGGATGAAGGAGTTACAGTGACTCCGTTTCATACCACTTTGGTTCGAATTTCTGTATCTCAGGAATTAGTCCCATGGGCCTAGCCTAGCCTAACCACAGGGGTGGCTAAGAAATGTAGGGAAGTACATAGATGTTCAGGAGCACTGATTGTCTATGCCACACATCTATATGACATCCTCCCGCAAAATAGCTATACTAACTAGTACTTCATTAGTGTCAGTGGGACAGCGGAACATTAAACTGGGCTCAGTTTGTATTAGCAACCAGATGTGCTAGATCTATTCACTCAGCAGGCATTTATTGAGTGCCTCTGTATACCAGGCACTATTTTAGGTTTTGGGAATACAGCAGGGGGAAAAACCATCAAAAGTTCTTACACTCACAGAACTAAGTTTTTCGTGGAAGGTGATAAACAGTTAACAAACAACATACAAAGTTTGTTAGTTGGTGATACATATTGGAGAAGAATAAAGTACAGAGGGAAATAGGGAATGTATTGGTGTGAAGAAGGAGGTTAGATTGCAATTTTAAATAGATTGATCAGGGAAAGTGTCACTGAGAAAGTATCACTGGAGCAAAAATCCAGAGATGAGAGGGCCAGTCATTTGGCTGTCAGAGCAAAGAGCATTCCCATAAGAGGTAACAGATACAAAGCCCTCAAGGTGGCGATGGGGGGTAGGCATGGAGTACTTGGCATGTCTTGTGAATGGCAAGAAAGCAAGTGTGGTCGCAGCAGGTGTGCAAGAGAGGATAGTGGAAGGATTGGGAGTGTGCTGAATACAGGCTATGTAGAACCTTATATGCTATTTAGGGTCAATGGCTTCTGCCCTGTAACATATGACACCATTCGGGAGTTTTGTGAAGAAGGGTGACACAATCACTGGCTGCTGTGTTGGGCTTAGATTATAGGGTCAAGGGCAAAAGCAGGCAGACACATTAGAGGTGACAGCAAATTTTAGGTGACAGATGGTGGTGGCTTGGACCTTTTCCATTCCCCCCAAAAGTTGACGGGCCACATTTTAAAGGGGAAAATGAATGCACAAACGTAAGATAGTTTTTGCTAATAAGATGTAAGCATACAGTCTAATTGTAATGTAATTTATTCTTACCACACATCTCATATTCTGTTGTTTCATTTATTGATTCAACAAGCATCTATTCAGTATTACTTCTTGCCAGGCCCTCTGTTAGGCACTGAGACAACAAATAAAAAATGATCTCTGCTTTTTGGAAACTTATGTTATAGTAGGATTATAGAAATTACCAAGCGTATAACATCATGTTAAAACCCAAAACAACAACAGCAGTAGAAATATAATCACTGTATAATTAAATGATGGAAATAACCAAAATTTATGAACTGTTTACTACGTGCTAGACATACCTATGGATATGATGATGATATAGATGGTCATTATAATTGTTATATTTTGTTGGCTATTTTTATAGCCAAATATACCATTTTAAAGTTAGAAAACTAGTGACCAAAACCCTAATCTGTTGGAAAGTATTTTTTCTGTGCTCTACAATTCAATGTAATCCTTGGTAATGTAGGATTATGTAATTCAATTAGGTAATTACATTACTAAGGACTTTTATCAGTCTAGTGCCAATCTAAAACCCAGCCCAGAAAATGTGTGTTTCATTTTTTCCCAATGTTACTAGTACCTCAGCCTCTCTTGATTTGTCAGCCTATTTAAGGTATCTTCATTGCATGTTTTTTTTTTTTCTTTTAATCATCTGCTTTGAAGGAGACTAAGCTGAAATTGCTGCTCAGCTCCCAAGATGGTGCCACCCAAATTGCATAACCTTTTCTACCTTTGCGGCTGCCTCACTGTGGTTCATCCTTTTGACTGGCAATACCTAAATCCTGTTGCCCATATGAAATCGTCAGGTAAGAGGTATATTTATTTGTTCAAGGTCATGAGCAACTGGTCTGTAGCCATACTTCAAGTGGCCCCCAAGAAGTTGCACATCTGCATATCTAAACAAGTCCTATTTAAATGGTTATGTAGATCCTCTTTTCTGCTGGAGCAGGGGAAAAGTTCTCACTTTTTCCTCATTTCAAATGAAATTGAAGAAGAACCAGTGTTCTTCAGTATCAGGACTGCAGGACAGAACTAGGATGGGATGTTTTAAGATACACTGGAAGCTCAGCTTGCAGTCACCACAGAGAGCCTCCTTAATGCCACCCCTTTTCTCTATGACTGCCCTAACACATGTCTACACACAAACATAGTAATGCAACTGCTCTGGAGTACACTCCAAGGCAGCCTCAAAACACCTGCTTTCATGAGGTGGAGAAGAGGCGGGTGTCTTTTTCAACAGGCATAATCTTGGTTAATAGTGGAAGGTCGTGTGAGATAACAATTTCAGGTCTTGGGATCCAAAGGGAAGCAATCCTTCCTACTTAATCATAGAGAGAAACAGGGACGAGTAGGTGCTAGGGAGTTCCGGATGAGAATGAATGTGATCACTTATTCTTTCTTGCCTTGTGGTAAGAGGGGTAGGAATGAAGAGGAAAACTTAGACAAATACAGGAAGAGTTTGCCAAAACAGGGCAACCATCTTTAGACAGCTACATGTAATATCACTAAGAGGGACCTTAACTGCAAAGAGATTGTTTCTGAAGCTTTGCAAATTCCTGCTCATTCCAGAGGGTTGTGATGCATTAACTTCTCTTTCCAGTCTCCTGTGGAGAGCAGTGCAGGAGGCTTCTGAATGTTGTCATACTGACTATACCCACAGAGCTGTGTACCTGGATAGTTGTTATTCTGGATCTAGTTGTTCAAGCTTGATGGGTGACTCTTTAGCATTTACAAAAGAGCTTTCGTAACTCAGTACCTTATAAATTTTGCCCTACTGCGTAACCAGGAAAATGAATGCATTAGTAGGAGAGGTTCTATATCTTATATCTACATTTGCATAGGACGTAGAATAATATCTCACAAGTCCATTCATCTTACAACATATCAGGAAGTTAAGGCATCAAGGATAAACTGGTGGCTAAGACAATAAGCGTATAGCCAAATTCAAGGGTCCTGCAGCCTAGATGACATTAATTCATTTTTCCTGTTACCTTTTTCATAGATTGAGAATAGGTAATATCTCATATGGTGGGAAAATCATCCAGGAAACATTTCTATCATTCACTTTTTATTGGTACAGGGTAAAAATGTCAAAACATTTTTCTTTTTAATCTCTTTATCTTTAAAAATCATTGGAAAGCTGTCATTGGACTGACAGAAACTTGAGGACAGAGACATTGTTTTATTTATCCTTACAGTCCCACCATTGAGTGCAATGCAATGCTCATTCTAAATTCAAAAATAAATGCAGACCAGGCACAGTGGCTCATGCCTATAATCCCAGCACTTTGGGAGGCTGAGGTGGGTGGATCACTTGAGGTCAGGAGTTCAAGACCAGCCTGGCCAACATAGTGAAATCCTGTCTCTATTTAAAAACAAATACAAAAAATTAGCTGGGTGTGGTGGCACACAACTATAGTCCTAGCTACTAGGGAGGTTGAGGCAGGAGAATTGCTTGAACCCACGAAGCGGACATTGCAGTAGTCAAGACTGCACCACTGTACTTCAGCCTGGGCTACAGAGTGAGACTCTGTCTCAAAACAAACAAACAAAAATGAATGCATACATACTGGTTAAAATACTAGAAATAGTTTATTAAATAAGATTAAAATAATAGGTGATTCTTTACAGTTTCTTACTAAATGAATATACAGAAAATATGGCTATGCAGGTAAAAAGTTTCGTAAAAATGGGCTAGAGATACCCTCAGCCCATTTTTGCTAATGGATTACATAAAGCCATATGAGTAATTTTCCTAGCATGTATACAATTCATCCCCAAACCCAAAACTGAACATCAGGAATATTTGACAAATGTATACCACGAAAAATATGTAATAGGATTAATAGCATACTATAGGTTCTGATCCTCTTATTAAAATAAAGTTGAAGAAAACTAAGAGGAGACATTTATAAATTCTGAACCACAAAATGATGTGAGTGGTTATTTGATCTGATGAGTCTTCTCCTTCCACTTCCTTAATGGTGACTCCTGAAAGATGGTTAGAGAATGGGAAATCCAGGCCTATAACTGGGTCAGCTGCAGGTTATGGAGCCTGTTCCACAGTCAGCCCCAGGCACCCTGGCACTAGTGCACAGGATATCATAGACCTATGTCAAAATCTGGGTCAGCTCAATGATTCCTGAGGCCTTCTCAGGGGTCAAGTGTTCTGGAACAGGCAGACCTATAGCCTCACCTTGACCTGAATGCTCCTGAATGCTGAGTGAGGAACCTTTTCAGAGAGAGCAGGTATTGGACAACCCAGGCACTCCTAATTTATTGGAAAAGGTTCCCTGGGCCTTTGAGATCTCACAAGCAGAGGCTTGTGCTGGGTGAATCTCTCCCATGGCTCCAGTACTGAGCCTCCAATTCTAGAAGTAGTGTCTCCAACACCAGCTGTGGCTCTGGGACTCCTTAGGGAGTTGTGTGAACCAGAGGTCTCCCTGCACCAAGCCCTGCACAGGCACATCATGCCTGCCTAGGAGTGGGGACGCAGCAGCTCCAGGCTGCTCATCACAGAAGAAAGGGCAGGTGTCCTTGCCCTAAGTCCTCCTCCTCGGGACTTGACATCTCCCTCCTACACCAGAAGCATGGCTCAGTACATAGTCTTTTATTGGAAGAAGAAGAGCCTTTTGTAATTCTAAATAGACCCTGAAAGTTCACCTAACAGGTAAAGTTTTTAAAAATAGTTTCTGTGGTTTGAATCTACCTGTGGGGAGGTTAGACCTGCTAAAACTCAAAAACCTTCCCTAAGGACACAGCACAGATTTACCTAGCCAGAATAAATTAACTCTGGGGAAGGAGTAAATAGCATTAGTTATCTGCCCATTATGTGTCATATTTTGTACTAAGAACTTGATCTACATTCTCACCTCATCTTTACAACTGTCCTGTGGGCTAGTCAAATGCTTTTATGTCATTTTACAAATGTGGATCGGAGAAGGGAGCAAATTGCCTAGGCCAGAGGATTATAGCTTGTAAGAGGTACACCTGAAATCTGAAATAGAACCATGTCCACCCAATTCCCAGGGTTCATCTCAACCCCATCACCCCTTGCCTTCCTTGCAACTATCTCTTACCACTTGACCATGGATTGCTGACCTGTGTGTCAGTCCAGGTGGTCTGGAACTTCAGCCCAGTGTCTCTTAAACTTTAATGGGCATTCCTTTTCCGATTCAGTAGAATTGGGGTAAAGTCCAGGGGCCTGCATTTCCAAGCTCCAGGTGGTGCCAGTGATGCTGGTCCACAGATCAGCTTTGAGTGGCCGGGCCTTATGTATTGAAAGGCTTCATCATGGGCAGGTGTTTCACATATGAGTCACCAGGCTGTAAATTGTGGAGGCTGTAAATTGGTTTCTCCGCATGACTCAAAACCTTTCTGGGCAGTGTTCCATGGTATTGATGCAGATACCATACCTAACATAGCTCTTGGCAACTGGCTAGCAGAGAGTAATCAACTCCCGCCATCCAATGGAATGAAGGAGTGGACAAGCTGGATATGTCAATAAAAGTGAGAGTCTGAATATACTGATATTTGATTCAACATCATGGAATTAAATATGGATTTGATTGGGGTTTAGAAAGGATAACAGATGAAGCTGCAGGAGTATGTGGAAGGGTTGCACCAGAAAGAGAAAAGGAGTTTTAGAAGTGGGTGAGTAAAAGACTGTATATGATAAAGGGTTTAAAGGAAAACAGGGGAGACCAGTGGCCATTCAGGTTACCTAAGCTCATTTTCACAAGTATTTGTTATGCATTGACTATGTGCCAGACATGTGATCTGTTAAGATCAGCGATGCAAAGACATGGATATGGCTCTGGAGAAATAGCCTAGTGTAGCATGCAGATACATAATTTTAATATGTGATAGGAAGAATGATTATGTGTGTGTACACACATACACATAGAATATATATAACACTGAGGATGAAATGATTAAGTCTGGGGAATCAGGGAAGGCTTCAGAGAAGATAGGATATCTGATCAAGGTATTGAAGTTTGAATAGGAGTTTGCCAAAAGGATTTAAGCATAGGCAGTAGCATTTACAAAGGTGCAGTGGCATCAATCAACCCAGTGTGTAGCTCAGGAGTGCTGTAGCACAAGGAAGGGGGATAACTTAAGGGGAAGAGACAGAAGAAGAGTACGAGGCAATGGGCCTCCAGTGAAGGGTTTCTTTGCAGTGCCGAGAAATTTGGGATTTAACTTGTGCACCTGTGAACCTCAGTATGTTTCAACCCCAGAATCCTGGAAGGATAGGCCACATTTGTGCAAGTAGCAGTGTGTTTGCTTAGGAAAGCATGTGTAGAATTAAATTTCTCCTACAAACTGCCTTCCAAAGAGATTACAATACATTCCTCATTCAAGGAAAGAACATTTACTGATAGGAAGCCATTGAAGGATTTTCAGAATTGTCTGGTGTTATTTGTGCTTTAAATCCCTCCAGGAGCTGTGTAAAGGATGTGTCCGAAGGGGTTAAGATCCAAGGTGGATAGAACAGGAGAGAGAGCAACAGCCTGGGCAAGAGACAGTGAGGACATCAATGAGACAGTTGAGCTAGAGGGTCAGAGATAGATTGTGGAGATCTTCCTAACCTAAAAACTGATGTTAGAAATAGAGGCTTGGTTGAACGTAGCGGGCTGCTGAGAAAGAGACAGGAGAGTAGGATGATTCCCAGGTTTCTAGCTTGCGATGCAGGAGATGAGGAGCTCTTGAGTTGCAGGCTGTGTAGCTGGAAGGTGAGAAGGGGGGAGCTGGAAGATGGTCATTGAGTTTCATTTTGGAAACTAAATGGTTTTGACATTCTTATGGGAAGGACATCAGGTAGAGATGTTGAAGGATAAGTTGTAGGCACAAATTGGAAATGTGAGATAAAGTTCATGTTTAGGAAAAACAGATTTGTGAAGTCATCTTTAATATACTCTGGATAGAAGTAGAACGAGAGGGCAAGGTTGTAAACATTTAGGAGGTAACAGTCCAAGGCAACCTGGGAGAAGGGCAATGTCTATCTTCATCTCTTTACCCTCCAAAAACCCTACAGAGTGTTTCAAACAGAGCAGACCCTCAATACTTTTGTATTTTACTTGTTAGTTTGAGAAAGAATGAAGGCCAGAAACTGTGGGAAGTAACTTGATTCTACTGGAATTTCTTTGCATAATAAAATCTGATGTGTAATGGATTACAAATGAAATAATATATACTTGTTTTTCAGCATGGGTCAACAAAATACAAGTAGTGATGGCTGCTGCATGCTCTGGCCAAACTAAAATTCCCCGGGGAAATGGGCCTTATTCCATTGGTTGTACAGACTTAATGTTTGATCACACTAACAAGGTAATGCTTTGATTTATCAGACTTATCCTGATACTCTAATATTGTCTGTCACTATGGCTCACTAGAAGGTGTCAGATGTGTCCTTGCCCTCACCTGAGAATGACTCATTTTGCAATGTGTATTTCTTCATATGAAGCCTTTTATTAGTTTAGCCATTCCCCAATTCTTTGCTATTGTCTGATTAATTTATCTATAAACCCTATTTTTCACTTCCTTAATATCTGAAGCCAGTCTGCTTATATTTTCTTTTCATTGAGATAAAATATTGTTTTACTGTTTCTCTTTCATGACTGTCTTCAATCACCACAGCAGCCTAAAAAGTTCTCTAGACCTCTTTGTGAACACAGAGGTACTTGAGTCCCTGCTAATGAAATAAGCAAAATAGCTGCTGGAATATGTCTGAGAAGCAACTTCTCTAAAAGTGCATTAATTTCTTTCTTAACAGGGCACCTTCTTGCGTTTGTATTATCCATCCCAAGATGATGATCGCCTTGACACCCTTTGGATCCCAAACAAAGAATATTTTTGGGGTCTCAGTAAATGTCTTGGAAGACACTGGCTTGTGGGCAACATTTTGAGGTTACTCTTTGGTAAGATTTCTGTTGATCCTTCTTTGTGAGCTCTAGTGTATAAGAAAACTTTGAAAACAACACAAATTTCAGGCAGTTAAGACCAAAGTAGATTTTTCTGCAGTGTAAATATCTCCTAAAATGATAAGGAAAGTATTTCTTTTTTTTTTTTTTTAAGTATTGAATAAAGTATTTATTCAATGACGTTTTTAATATTTCAGGAAGTATTTCTCATATTTTAATGTATACATGAACCACATGGTATCCCATTAAAAAAGCAAATTTTTGTTCAGTTTTTAGAAGAAGGTGCTAAGATTTCTTTCATTTGAAACTTCTTTGTGATACCATTACCGCCGTTCTGCTGATTTCAGTTATGACTCATGCTGACTTCAAAATTAAAGCCCAGGCAACTATGACAGAAGGAAGAGTTCTCATTTTGTCCATCCTGAGTTGGATGGGGGTGGCCAAGAGTATCAGACTGACTGACATCTTTCTATGACTGCTCTTTAGTTTTCCATCTGATGTACCACGGAGAGGGCAATAATGTGGTGAGAATAGCAGGTTCTCTGGTGTGGCCACTATCCTGCATGCTATGTGCTAAAGTCAGACCAAAAAAGAAAAAAAGTAGAAGCCACCAAACTCTCCAGATCCAAAACAAAGGAGTCAAAGCTAATGCCTGAAGAGACTCTACTCTCATTCCCATCACCTACCCCCATCACTAAGACAATCTGATGTGCATTCTTTACTTATTTTCTACATTTTAGTAATGTAGAATTTTCCTTCCTTCCTATCTGTTTGACTAGACTCTACGGATGTTGGGCTGATGTTAACTGTGTCTTCACGTTTCTCCTTCAAAACTATCTACAACTTTTGGGATTCATCTTAAACATCTCCTTCTAATTTTCTTAAAAACCCCTTATAACAGAAATTAAAATACTGTAACTCTGCATATTTATGTTGCAAAAAAACTTATAAATCACTTCATCACAGTCAGTCTTCATGACCACATCTGCATTTTATAGATGAGAAAGTGAAACACAAATGATTGCTAATAATACTGGTGACAATAAAAACTGAGAAGTGAAAGAAGACAATATTTTCATTTTTGAGCCCCTTACTATGTGATGGATAGGTGCTTTACATATATTAGCTTTACATATATTACCTAATTAAATAAAATTCTCAGAAAAAACCCTGTAAAAGAGATATCATTTTCTCAATTTTACAGAAGAGGAATCCGAGGCACAGAAAGTTTGAGGAACTTGCCCAGGATCCATAGCTAGGAAGTGGCAGAGCTGCATTCACGACTCTGTATGAAGTCAGCAGTTTCTCTACCTTTGGCTGCATGATTATGACCAAATTGTAAGGAGCAGAGTCTCTGATTGTTAGATTCTGGCTCTCAGTGTAATGTAGCTGAGGTTTTATGGGTAGTTTTTTTTTTTTGGGTAGTATAGGTAGTTTGGGTTCAGAACATTCCCTTCAAAGTTTTTCCAAAACCTGGAAACGGCAATAAGTAGCAGCCTTTGTGACTACACTGATAAGTAGGAAAATCTCTCACCTTAAGTACAGAGCTGGCAGTGAGAACTCATCATGAATGATCCTATGGTCTGAGAAAAGAACTTACAGTTCATGTCTTTGGTTCGTGAGTATCTAGTAGCAGTCTTTTTAATGAATTTACTATTCATCATAGAAAAGTAGATATAAATCAGATGGGTCTGCATTTTATGCTAATGAGATCTGAATTAAATTCACTAGCAACACTCAGAGAAATCACTAACTATAATCTCCTGTCATTGTCTAGGTTCCATGACAACTCCTGCAAACTGGAATTCCCTGCTGAGGACTGGTGAAAAATATCCACTCGTTGTTTTTTCTCATGGTCTTGGAGCATTCAGGTAGTGTTTGAGAGGTTGAACAAGTTCAGCTTCTAGGAATAAATGACAGTTTTTTTATTCAAAAAAGAAATAGCAGATTTTGGAATGTCATGCAGGCCCTTGTCTGGAGGAGTTGGGTTTCCTCAATAATTGGCTTTGGGTCTATTGATCAGTCCTAGCCCTATCTTGTCAAGTAGTTTTTTTTCCCTACTACTACCTCATTGGGATTAGCCTCACAGCAGAGAAGAGAGGGTAATGCATTTTTGATAATTGCCCTTCTATATTGTAATATTTACACTTTTAAAATTATCCTCAGTAAAGTTTAGGACTTCTGAGAAACCAAGAATAGATGAGCTGTGAAAGGCATTTATTTATTATTTTTTTATTGCATTTTAGGTTTTGAGGTACATGTGAAGAACATGCAAGATTGTTGCATAGGTACACACATGGCAGTGTGATTTGCTGCCTTCCTTCCCATCACCTATATCTGGCATTTCTCCCCATGCTATCTCTCCTGGAAACCATCATTCTCTGCAAACTGACACAACAGCAGAAAGGCATTTATTAAGAGAAATATCTGTGAAGGATAGAGAAGGAGCAGGAAAAGATGGGGCGAACCTAATTACCATGCTACAGGTTGGACACCTGAAAAGGTGATGGGGAAAGGAGAAGGATTGGGTAAAAAGAACCTCAGACTATAGCACAGTTCTAAGAAATATTGAGCCAGGCCAATGGAAGGAGTGCTTGACCAAATTTGCTTATCAAGAGTCCTGTATCTCATAGGAATGGGCTAATGTTAGTACCCACACCGTGCCAAATCTCTGGGAGCAGGTGACTGGATGCTTACCTTCTACTTGACCATGGTGATGGATCCAGAGGGCAGAAGCTGGATGGGGTTTTTAGTTAACTATGCTGTATGTAGCATGATAGCTGAATGGCACATTTTCAGGACAACAACAACCCTCTTCACTTTCTTCCACCACTTTCTCAACTGTCACCCCTCTTCTACCTCAGGGGATTGTAAGATGCAGAAAGTAAGAGAGATGGCTTTTAGCTGGGAAGAAGTTGGGTAGCACCTGAAAAAAAGAATTCTCTTCAGCACTTTAGTTGTAGTTCAGTTAGCTGTTTGATTTCTCCCACACTAGTGATTGACAAATTAGAACCCAAGGGCCAAATCCAGCCCACTGCCTATTTCTATAAAGTTTTACAGGAACACAGACACACCCATTCATTTTTGTATATTGTCTATGGCTACTTTTGTCCTACAACATCAGAGTACAGTAGTGGTGACAAAGATTGTATGGCCCACAAAGCTGGAAATATTTACTGTCTGGCCTTCTACAGAAAAAGTTTACTAATCCCTGTGCCAGATCATTTCCTGCTCTTGAAAAGGTCCTGTGTTTTCAGCAACAAAGACATAGTTTCTAGCTACCTCCTTTTTATTCTCTGTGGACATTTCCTATTGAATGCATGGTATGAGGAAAAGGTTGTGCAAATGATGTGGAAGAGAGCATAAATGCAGTGCTTAGCACATGATTTTTCAATTATTTCACCCAGTCCAATCATTTAAATAACAGCTAACATGTGTTAAATATTTCACTGTTTCAAATACGATTATAAGTAATGAAAATGTATTAATTCAATTGATCCTCACTGATGAGATACCGTACTATTATGGCATCACCATTTTATAGATGAAGAACCAAGGCAGAGAAAATATTGTGACTTACCAAAGGTACACAGCTAACAAGTGGTAGAACCAGTGTTCAAACTCAGTGGTCAAACTGCAGATCTCATTCTCATAACTACCATACTGTCCTGATTTCCTATGTACGTTATCTTAGCAAAACCTTACAACTACCCTAAAACAAATGCTTTGCCCTTAGGCCCATTTTACAGGTGAGGACAAAAATGCAGTAATTACCTAAAATCATATAGCTGGTAAGTGGCAGAGCCAAGATTAAAACACCAAACTCTCAAAGACAATATTTATAATCCCTGCACCAGTTTTCTCAACCTCAGTAGTCTTTGACAGCATCCCTTTACCCACTAGACACCAGTAGGACTCTCGCCCACATTAGTGATAATGAAAATACCTCCAGACGTTGTCAAATATCCCCTAAGAAACAAAATCACCCTCCTTTAAGAACCATAGCTCTCCATTCTACCCCAGGGCACTACTACAGGGATGTAATGGCCTTCACGTTCCCAGTTTCATTAGTGGACACAGCCTTGTAATCATGACTGGTAGTTGTAATGCTTCCCTCTTTTTGTTTTGAAGGACACTTTATTCTGCTATTGGCATTGACCTGGCATCTCATGGGTTTATAGTTGCTGCTGTAGAACACAGGTATGTTACCTGATGTAATTGGGCTCTTTGACCAACTACAGGGAATGTTAATGCTCACAACTATGTTTCTAATTTTCATAAAAGTTTATTTAAAATGTTGATGAAACTTTCAAGTATGATTACATGATGAGCAAAAAAGGAGATTGGGTTTGATTGTTGACTTAAAAATATCTAACATTTCTAGAGTGTTTATTGCCTGCCATATCCTATGTGAAATGTTTTTAATATACTATTTCATTTAGTCTTCATAACAATCCTATTAGATGGTTATCATTATTATTATTATTGTTGTTGTTGTTTTAAGGGAGAGGAATATAGAGGTGATAAAGGATAATTTGCCCAAAGTCACACAACTAGTAAGTAGCAGTGCTGGGATTTGATTCCTGAGAGCGAGTTTCAACATGGCTAACATTGCCTCCCAAAATTAGGAAGATAGAATGGATTTAGTTTACCTGCAACTTGACAATAGACAATAAGGTTTTTTTTTCCTGGAACTCCTTTAGGGTCTTCTTTAATTTAAGAGAAAGTAGAGAGTAGAAGAAGAAAGGGAAGTCAAAAGATCAAAGGAAGTTGAGCCAAGGATGGAATTGAGAAATATGGGTCAGATGAGGAAGGGAAAAGGAGCATGCATAAATAACAATTTTGCTTGTATTATAGAGATGGATCGGCATCTGCAACTTATTATTTCAAGGACCAATCTGCTGCAGAAATGGGGAACAAGTCTTGGCTCTACTTTAGAGCCCTGAAACAAGAGGATATGCATATACGAAATAAGCAGGTACATTGCAATGAAACGAGAGGTGGATGGTGACCTAAAAGCATGTACAAAAGGACGTCATTTGTTAATTTAATTTTACATATGTCAAGTTATGCTCCTAGCTCTCCTATTTCCCATTCCCAAAAGATCTGTCAATAGATTCCCAGAGTAGTAAAATTCCCTTAATGGAATGACTGGTTCATAGTAAAAACAAAGGCAAATACAAAAATTTGGGAGATGACAGTGAATATTCAGAATTCCCTTGAATTACAACTTCTAATTTTAGAATCTAAAAAGTGCTAGAAAATAAATTAATAGATTCTCCCTCATAGGCAATATAAAAAGATTACTTTTCAGAGAGACAGTATACAATAGAATTAAGAGTGTGGGGCCGGCCAGGTGTGGTGGCCGACGCCTGTAATCCCAGCACTTTGGGAGGCTGAGGCAGGCGGATCACGAGGTCAAGAGATTGAGACCATCTTGGCCAACATGGTGAAACCCCATCTCTACTAAAAATACAAAAATTAGCTGGGCGTGGTGGTGCGTGCCTAGAGTCTCAGCTACTCGGGAGGCTGAGGCAGGAGAATTTCGTGAACCCAGGAGGCGGAGGTTGCAGTGAGCCAAGATTGCGCCACTGCACTCCAGCCACCTTAGAACCCAACTTTCTATGTTTGAATCCTGGCTCCACCACTTAGCTTTGTTACAAAATAAATGAATAACAACATTATTTGTCTTACAGAGCTATTAGGGCAATTAAGTGAAGTGTATTGGCTTCCTCTTTGTAGTGGGTATTTTACATGTGTTATCACATTTAAGCCCACCCACATTTCCTTTAGGTAGGCATTATTATACAATCAATGGAAACTCAGAGAGGTTAAGTAAATCATCTCAAGTCACATAGTAGGTAAGCAACAGAGCCAGGATTTGGACTAAGCTATACCTATGTGCAAAGCTGATGCCTGTGTCATCATGGTAGCCTGTATTATAATCACTAATCACATTTCCAGTTTATAACTGACCAACCATTTTTCCCACACACAACTTCTACACAAACTTTAAAATAAGTGTCGTAACTTTTTACTTTGTTATTTCCTTCTTCTAATTATTAGGTACAGCAAAGAGCAAAAGAATGTTCCCAAGCTCTCAGTCTGATTCTTGACATTGATCATGGAAAGCCAGTGAAGAATGCATTAGATATAAAGTTTGATATGGAACAACTGAAGGTAAGCTAAAAAAAGAAAGTAATTTTTCCCTTTTCCTACAGTTCTTTATCGTTTTTTGTCATCTGATTTTCTGATATATTGCAAGGTACAATATGACAAAGGGCTGCAACCACTGTCCCCCCAACACACACACACACACACACACACACACACACACACACACACACAGCAGTACAAGTAATATATTGCAGCAATGAAGAATGCATTATCTTGGACTAAATATGAAATTGCCAAAAGCTAGTCAGTTTTGATCTACAAAAATAGCAATGTCATATGGTTCAACGTAATTCCTGTGGAGGTATTATAATTTCATGGACAGCTCCTGCATGTTTTTAAGCTTGATCTTGAAAATTTGACACAAGTTTTGGAGCAGGTGGAAAAATATCAGACAGAGTGGGCAGCATAAGCAAAGACTCAAAAGTATGTGTGGCATGTGGAGTCCGGAGAATAGGGGAAACTAGAGAGTAAGATGATGGTCTGTTCTCCAGATACAATGAAGAAATTTGTTGTCACCTCAAGGAACCACTCTCTTCTGTATCCTTGCCTTTGTTTATATTGTCCCCTTGGTTTGACACACCCTTCCCCTTAACTAACTCCTACCTAATTTCAAGACTCCAGTTAAGCATCACCTCCTCTAAGAAGCTTTCTTGGACCCCAATGCCCACTTCTGGACTGGGCTCGCTGTTTGTCACGTGTGTTCCTTGGTGCCACTGTATTATATTACATCATGCCTCTGTATGACTTTCTTCCCTGATGGACTGCAAGCTCACTGAAATGAGACTGCAGTGCCTGGCCACAGAGAAGGTACTCAATAAATACTCATGGAATGAACAAACTAATAAACATGGGGCGAGGAGAGGCAGAAATCAGAACTGATGTACGAAGACCATTAAGTTTACTTTCCCCCTAAAATGCAATAAAAAAATAAAAAAAATAAAGAATAAAAAAAGTTTACTTTCAAACCTTTACATATGATATATATATGTATATATATTTACATATATATGTAAATGTTTTTATATGTATATATGTCTGTGTGTATATGTATAAATGTATGTGTGTATATGTATATTCTGTTTTATAAGAAATTAAGGTATTTAACCATCTCCATTAAATGAACAATTATATGTTTGACAAAATCATTTCTTCTAACACCATGAGATAGTTATAAATTTATATTGTGCTTTTTCACATAGGGCTCTATTGATAGAGAAAAAGTAGCAGTAATTGGACATTCTTTTGGTGGAGCAACAGTTATTCAGACTCTTAGTGAAGATCAGAGATTCAGGTAAGAAAATAAGATAGTAGAGCAAGAGAATAACAAATTATTGGAAGAGGGAGAGTAATAACTCATGTAAGATATAATTTTTTAAATTAAATTCTTAGTGAAGAAGGGATCTCTTGGAGTTTATAAGGCTATTTTTTTTTTTTTTTTTTTGCCTCCATCAAGTACTCTATATACATTTTCCTAGGCTAAAACATCTACTTCTCCTGCTATTAAAATCTCTCCCTACTCCCATATGTTTTCCCTCATTATTTTTTGTCTACCCAAGGGCTTAACACTTTTCACTTAAAATTTATCTTTATATAATTTTTGTGACATAATGATTGTGATAATAATATTGTCATCTTACAGTACTGCCAGACTTCTCCAGTGGGCAGGATATTTTTTAATTAGGTTTTAAGATGGAGCTGGATCTAAAATTACGATTATCTGCTTAGGATTTGTGACCAGACCCCAGTTTTCTAGCTTGCAGGAACCTTTTCTTTCTTGAACTACTTCATTCCAGACTGACGAGATCACATAGGACCAACCGTACAGAGAGTGGGCAGGATCATTTGTGAAACTTCACCTCAGATTTCTTAGAAGTCTATTTCAGTGTAAGAGAATTCTCTTCTTTCATTCATTTAGAAAATGGTCAGGAAACATAGAATAAACTTACTTTTAAAAAGGATGTCAGTTAGATTTTCAAATGATATGCTCCATATGTTTTTCTTCAACCCTTAGTTTTTCAGCTGAAGCGCCTCTAAATATAAAGTAATGGGTCCAGTTGTTACTCTGAAAAAGCTATAATAAATACAGTACAAGGTAGATAAAAGCTCTGAAAATCGAGGTGAATTTATTATCCTTTTTCAGATACTTCACAAAATTGAAGAAATTATGTATTTTAAAATTTATTTTGAATAAAAAATTTTAAGGATATATCATTCAAATGGTTGCAATTCCTAAAAGGCATATAAAGAAAATTAGTATACTTAATTCCAGGTCTGTTGCCATACAAAGCTAATCATATTCCTTTCCCACATTGAAGTATAATACCTCTTGAACCCAATGAGATAATCCATAATAAACTGGTATGGTGTGTGTCCATACTAAACTGGTATGGTGTGTGTCCATACCTAGCATTATTAGGAAGTCCTAAATGTTGGCTAGTATGTAATCAACCTTCTTTCATCATTGTCAACAAATATCTACAGATGTGGTATTGCCCTGGATGCATGGATGTTTCCACTGGGTGAAGAAGTATATTCCAGAATTCCTCAGCCCCTCTTTTTTATTAACTCTGAACATTTCCAATATCCTGCTAATATTCTAAAAATGAAAAAATGCTACTCACCTGGTAAAGAAAGAAAGATGATTACAATCAGGTAAGTATTAGTGACTTATTTCATCTGAAACAAACTTGAAGCTTGGATAAATATCAGTGGATAGCATTTGGTAACCATTACAGAATTGCTGAATTGGTTATTTAGACTTTCAGTAAGGAGAGTATTAGATAATCTCAGTTTCTAAGTACATTTAGACTTACTCTTTTTAAAATGGAAATGTTAATGTATATAGTCTATATAGTGGCTATATTAGTCTGTTCTCACATTGCTATAAAGAAATACTTAAGACCTGGTAATTTATAAAGAAAAGAGGTTTAATTGGCTCACAGTTCTGCAGCCTATGCAGGAGGCATTATGTTGGCATCTGCTCAGCTTCTGGGGAGGCCTCAGGAAACTTATAATTATGGCGGATGGCAGTGGGGGCATGAGCACTTCACATGGCTGGAGCAGGAGGAAGAGAGGGATGGGTGAAGGTACTGCATACTTTTAAATAACCAGGTCTCACAAGAACTATCACAGTGACAGCACCAAGGGGGATGGTGTGAAACTATGAGAAACTACCCCCATGTTCCAATCACCTCCCACCAGTCCCTACCTCTGACACGGGGGATTCCAACTTAACATGTGATTTGGTGGGGATACAGATCCAAACTATATCACTGGTAATTAAAACTAGCATTATACTACATGCTACTTTAATCTAAATACCAGAACATGCCTATACATTTTTGGGAGCAGAGCTAGGGGGAAGTATTCCATCATTAGGCTGGGCTAGGAACTCTTTAAAGAAAAAGTTAGATTACCTATTGAGACCTGCCATATACTTACGTGGTGAGAAAGAATATGAATTTATAAATTTCCCGAAGCTATAATGGGGTACCATCAAGTGTTGCCAATCCTTATATCCTGGATGCGAAAAAGAACTCCTGATAAGGTTTTGAACTCTCAGTGAGATATTACAAAGCAAAGGTAGACCTGAACTTACCCCTCTCCTATCTGAAACCTGATTTATTTAGAAGAGAAGAGAAGAGGCAGGAAGGAGACATACAGAGTATAGGCGATAACCACTATGGGCCCAGAGAACAGAGGGGTCTCTTCCAACCGAAAGGGATTCTTAGATGATACTAAAATTGGATTTTTTAAGATCGAGAGAGTTTAGATAGTAAGAAAGCGTTTAGGTATTTCAGGCAAGGACTTCCATTTAGCTTATGTCTATGGTTCAAGTCTCTCTAATTCTAAAACAGAAATAATACAAATCACCTAACCTTCCCTCAACCCTACTTCCTTACTAGGTTCTCACCTTGTCTTTCTTCCCTTCTCTGCTAGCAACCTTCAAAGAATAGACAATATCAATTATTGCATGTGCTTATTTCTACTCACTCTTTGACTCTTGTAGTCTAGCTTTCTGGGCCCCCACCAGATGCCAAAGCAAAAGCATTAAAAACCTGCTGCACACCACATCAGCAGCCTCTTCACGGCCTCAACCTTGCTCTCTGCATCTGTTCAACATTGCTGACCACCCCTCTTCCTGCTCCCTTGGCTACTATGACCCTCCTCTTTGCTGCTTCTCCTCGTCATTTATGCCGCTCCTTCCATTTCTCTTCCTCAGGTCAGTTCTCCACTGTCAGAGCATCCAAGCTTCTGCTTTCAATTCTCTCATAATCCTGCTGTTTATCTTCTTTATGTTTCTGACATTCAAGTTTCCTATTAGAATGTGGGGAATAGTGAGAGGGAGTTAAGTAGAGTTGTTTTGAGCTTAGATAACTATTAAGAATGATGGTTTGTTTATAAGAACCAGCAGAGTGAAGAGGCAGAGCAGCTTTGGGCAGGGCTGGGAAGATGTCTTTTAACTTCACCATATCTTAGCTTGAGACCTGGGAAATCTGTATACAGATGCCTGGCCACAAATTGGATGATTACATAATTTACATGATATCATAGATGAAACATCTGAAGTAGAAGAGATTACAAAGTGAGAAAAGTGTTGGTCTGCCAATAGAATCCTAAGGAATGCCTACATTCAGCCAATGGGAAATGCGTGAAGAGCCAGTGAAGAACACCGAGTGGTTAGGGTCAGAAGGGAAGGTGCAACGTTAAAGAAACAAAAAGAAAAGAAGTGCAAGAAAGCCATTAACTGTCAAATGTCCCAGTGGTGGTAGAAAATGGGCACTTACAAAAAGGCCATTCTATTTGATGTTAGGCTATTGATGAATTCAGAGAGAAGTGCAAATGATATTTTTAAAGTGCCTAGAGTTTAATACTGGGAAAGATGTTGTTTGTTTGTTTGAAATCTATTTCCTCTAAGGCTTAAATCTAAAGTGATTTGACTAGCATCAAATACATGGCACGATCAATGGTGAGGGGAGGTGGCAGGTTCTGGCTCTGATTTCAGGGACTTTTCAATACACAACACATTCCAATACTTGGAAGTATTCCTATTTACTAAAAAGCAGGAATCATTCCTTCTAAAATCAAGATACCAAGCAAGACCAGGATTCTTTAAGTTGTATCTCTACAGGAAAGATGAATATACTCTGGGATCCCTAAACAAACAGCCTGTGACCCTTGAAATACATTTAAGTAGATCAAATTACAAGTTTTATTTCCTTGGTTTTCAGTAAATAGACCAACAAGGTATCTTTCCTCTACCCTAACTAAGAAAAATAATTTTATTAAACAATGTTACTTTTAAATGTCTTGTTTCTCTTGTTTCTCTTTTCTCTAGGGGTTCAGTCCATCAGAATTTTGCTGACTTTACTTTTGGAACTGGCAAAATAATTGGACGTATGCTCAAATTAAAGGGAGATATAGATTCAGATGTAGCTATTGATCTTAGCAACAAAGCTTCATTAGCATTCTTGCAAAAGCATTTAGGTAAGAAACTAATATTTTTTTCATGACCTAAATAAGATGACTCTCAGGATAAAACTGTCTATCTTAATACAGCTTTAGTACCATTTTAACTATTTCCAGCTGGTTTACAATGTAACAAAGCAGTAAATCTATTTGAAAACAGAAATTTGAGAAAGTCAGTTTTGCTGCTTTACATACCGTGTATCATAGAAAGCAAACCCAACTGTTAAAAGCTAACAATCTTCATATGAAGACTGAAGTGGACTGCCACGTTGAGGATACTGACAGCAGGTTGCCTCACTCCTATCCCATTTGCATTCAGCTGCTAAGGCAGCCGTGGGGCAGGTGACACAGAGCACCTTGTCTCTATCATCCTGATGCAACTTGTGTAATTCCTAACTCTATATTGCCACCTAGGGGCACCAAATTGTTTAATGTGCTCAAAAGTTTAATACGTTCATTAATGCTTTATATTTTATAGGACTTCATAAAGATTTTGATCAGTGGGACCGCTTGATTGAAGGAGATGATCAGAATCTTATCCCAGGGACCAACATTAACACAACCAATCCACACATCATGCTACAGAACTCTTCAGGAATAGAGAAATAGGATTAAAGGGATTTTGTTAAAGTCTTGTTCCTAAACTGTCTAAAATTATGTGTATATATGTACATGAGAGGAAGAGAGAGACTTTTAATGTATTTTCCCAAAGGACTCATTTTAAAATATAGGTGATACTATAATGGTGATTGAAGCTTGGGCTAAGAATTTTTTCCCTTTACATGTAAAGAATACAGTATACAATATTCATATCAACCTAAATTTTAATTTTACTAAGATGATTCCTTTTTAGTGTCAAAGTTAAAAACTGCTTTTACACTACTTTGATAGACAAGTAGATTAAAACAGGCAAAATGCCAGTGGAAAACTGTTGCAATGATACAAGACTCCCTATATATATAGTAAAAACAAAATTTCTTGCCTTTTATTCTCTATTCTAGGCAATAGGGTTAGTTTTAGCAGCTTGATATTCTAAGTAGAATTTGGCAGCACTTCTCTTTGACTTCTGGTCTTGGTAACAAAAATTAGATCAAGCAAAAGCCATTGTTTTACACAGGATTGGTGGTACCCCACAATTTCAAATCATGACTAAATGAGGGGTAGAGAAGGGTTAAGAATATTAGAGATAAGATGAAGGCAATGGATTAGAGAAAATAGGTAGTTTGGGGCATTTTCTTTAATTCTTTAATGCATTCTACTTACTAAAGAAAGGTTTCATTGAATTGCTTCATTGAAGCAATTCATTCATGAATTTCATTGAATTGTTTCATTGAAGGTATTATAGCTTACAGTAGGGATTCCAGTTATAATACATTACTCACACAAAGGCTGTGAAGGTTAATAAAACATTCAGAATTACATTTAGCTTCTTCATATTTCAATAACTTTAATGTTTTCAATTCTATATGTAGTAGTAAAACAGAATGACATGATTAAATGGAGGTAAAAATATAGCTTAAGAGTTTATACATACACTTATAAATATGGGAATCATGGAAAATGATTTTATTTCCTAAGGGATATAAAAATGTATACCATTCATTTGGTACCTTAGTCCTGTCTTATTGGTTTCAGGTGAAAAGTCACTCATTCTGAGAAATTTGACTTCTGTAGCCATTCAGATTAAATTTTTTTAAATAGGGAGCTAAACTCAGCTTGAAAATGAAGGCTTTCTATAATCTGACCCTAATGCATCTTCTCTGAGCTTTTCTCCTGGCAGTTCATACTATATTGTCTATATGAGTAAGCCAAACGTCTACTCATTATCCCACGAATAAGTAATATACTCATTTACCTCAATTACTTTTAATACAAAACCATCTCCTTTCTACTTACTGAAATCATACCTGGTTTTTAAGGTTCATAATTCTATTTCAATTAGGCTACAGAGTCTGATAATGCTTCATAGACATACACCTTTACCCCAGTCTCATTTACCTTCTCCCTATTCATTGTAGAAATAAACATTTCAACTGTATGGATGTCCCATTCAACACTTTTTTTTTTTTTTTAACAATCTTTTGTTGGTGGTCCATGCTGATGCTGAAAGGAGAAAACTATTGAAAATATCTAATAAGGTTAAAAAGAAATAACCTAGCATAGTGCACAATGAGTATTTTTCAGAAAAAAGAAACAAACATTTACCAAATGCCTACTCCTTTTCAGGGACTTTACATCAATTATTTCCAAAACACTGCAAGAAAGGTTTTATTACCACTACTTTAGTAGTGGAGAAGATCAAAGCTCAAAATATTATATAATTTTCCCATGTGACATATCTGTTAAGCAGTATATAGCTAAGCTCTGTTTTCAGAAACTAAGATCTATACTTTGCAAAATCATGTTTAAAGTCACGGGCATTAAAGTTAGGTATGTCTGGGTTTTACCAAGCCTCTGAGACTCACTAGCTAGCGGACCTTAGGCAACTTATTTAACTTCTCTAAGGAGCTTCAATTTTCTCGCCTATAAAATATGGATAATATTGATATGTACCTCAAAGTTGATGATTAAAGTGAAAAAATACATTCAAAGTACAAGTGACTAATATGTAAGAGCTTACATTTATTACCATGCTTTCCCCAATCCTCCATTATAGAGGAGAGAGTGAACCAAGTATGTTTAAGAATTTGACTTCCTTTTTAATAAAATAAGACCATCACATTAATGATAAACTTTATTTAAGGATAAACTTTATTCAAATCGTGTATTAGAATACTTCCAAATTCAAACAGAATGTTAGTCAAATGTTTAGACAGACAGGCAAAGCTTCAAAATCAAGACAAAAATTCTGAAGGAGATACTGCTAAAACACTATCCTCCTAAGTAATATCAAATAATGTACTTGTCATTAGCCTGTATTTTTTCTATTTTAACTTAAACACTATTTGAAAGGTACCAAAATATTTTTTATTTTTTTGAGACAGAGTCTTGTTCTGTCACCCAGGCTGGAGTGCAGTGGCACAATCCTGGCTCACTGCAACTTGTGTTTCCTAGGTTCAAGTGATTCTCCTGCCTCAGCTTCCCAAGTAGCTGGGATTACAGATGTGCACCACCACACCCAGCTAATTTTTTATAGTTTTGGTAGAGACTGGGTTTCACCATGTTGGTCAGGCTGGTCTCGAACTCCTGACCTCAAGTGATCTGCCCACCTCGGCCTCCCAAAGTGCTGGGATTTACAGGCATGAGCCACCAAGCCTGGCCCAAAACAGTTTTTTGAAATGTAATGTCTTAGTAAACTGTTTAGCAAAATAAATCCTCCTAATGAATTAGAAACATAAAACAATAAAAGGCAAAGGAAAGATCCCAGATTCATATATACAACAGTATCACTATAAATATACTCCACAGTCAACCTGAGACCTATTTTGTTTTCCACCTATCTAAAAGTTTTTGAAAATGACAACTTCTTGTGGTTATATGTTTTCCAATTTCTCAAATACTCTGTTGGTCTGGGTAAGATGCCACTTGTTCAAGAGCAGCTTCTGACTGATTGGCCACAGCTATAGATCCACAGTTAAATCTCCATCACTTCCAAACCCCTTTTCTAAAACAAAAAAAAAAAAAAAAANAAAAAAAAAAAAAAAAAAGAAAAACTTCAAACTGAGAAAGAAACATACAAACAAAAGAAATTATTTACATGTGTGTTACAATGACAAATATAATGTTCTTTAAAAGAGGGGGAACAGATGAGTATTCTAATTACTACAGGGCATTATATCTATAGAAATAATGTTTTGTTTTCTTCTTAATATTTTAGTTCTCACACTATCTATACCATCATCAAATCAAGTTTCTCTAAAAAATTATGAAATTGGCTAACTTTATAGTTTGCTAGAATGGTGTTATGAAGGCTGATAATCAATTGGTTCTTTGTCCTTTTTGATTGGTGTGTATTTTCACATGATACTAAAGCTACCGTGAGCTGATTTTATTCTCAATGTGCCTCAATTCTAAGAACCACTGCATTATGTATGAACAGGTATGTGCAATACCAAGAACCGGCCAATAATTTGATTCTTACGTAAACTAAAGACTCAGAAATTCCAAGAGATTATTTAACAAAGATCATTTAAATATATGAGCTAATTAACAAAGAAAATTCCTTAAAATACGAATTTATCACATTCATAATTTAACTTTCAAGATTAATTCAATTAACAAATTTCCTATATTTCAAGAAATCCTCATCTTGATTATATATCCTCATAAGTATATTTAAACATTTTTTTTACCTAAAGTGGTTTTTCTTCCCTACCTCCAAAAAAACTGATAAACCATTTTTGTTTGAGGGTTTCAGCATAACAATATTTTTAAGACTTGGTAATTCCAGGTGGTAAAAGTATTTTGTTTTAAAAACACAAGTTACCTTTCATTGTGGTATCATCCGATGACATGAAGTAAAGATCTTTTCCTACTCTTTGGGATACATCCTAACAAAAGGAACCTTTGAATTACTATTGATTCTTTGTTATAAGTATAAAATAATTAAATCAGAAATGGAACCACAGATAAATGAGAAAATATGTAAACAATAAAATGTATTTCTATCAAAATTATGAAAATCTGATTTTATAATGAAGAATCACATGAAGTTCGTTTTCTATTCTTCAAATACTCATTTCTCTAGAACATATCCCTGGAGCACTCTACACAGGGAGTAAAGTGCCCTTTTCCAATTTTTAGCTCCCAAACCCCCAACAACTGTGGTAATTGGTGAAGGAGGGAGGGACATCATTGTTCAAGGGGATGCTACTCAAACACAGTATCCACATAGAGCCACATAGGCTTTATTAAAGGACAATGAAAAGGGAAATATTTCTCCTATATTCCTTTTAATACTAATAGCATCATGTAGGCATGCATTATGTGATACGGAAACTAATAAGATATTCTTATGGTAAAATACAATAACTCATATAAGACACCAAATTTTTTAAAAAAGTAATTAGATTCCTAGATCATAGTGACTTGATGTATCATTAAAAAAAGTCATGCATAATACAGTATTCACTTTGTACGGAAAACTAGCTCATCTGTAGACAAGTATCCTGATTTAAGAGCTTCCTCAAATTTGAGGGAAATATTTAAGTCCCATTAGTAATCAAATAAAAATTTTTAGAGCCTTACTCATAAGTAGCTTCTATATGTCTGCTAAGTGGCTTAGTCAAAGCCAGAGGTAGCTATGTATTTATTTATCTAGATATATTATTTTATGTCTACTTCAAATAGTGCTTTTCTATTTGGCAGGCATAGGGAACTTTATCCAAACTGAATCTTATATGTATGTATGTATGCATTTGGTTGTGGATTCTTCATAACTAATGGATGGAGACAACCTGAATGTAAAAAACGTTTTAGTAAATACTGGTGCAAAAAGTGTAGTAGACTGTTATTTTTGACATAAGCAAAAAAGTAACTAACATAAGGTAAAGAGATGTTCAATGATTTTTAATAGTAAAAATTTCAAGTGACCTAAATATCCAATACTATATGGGAAATGATTTAATACATTATGGCTCACTACTGTCATGCAGCATTATTCAGCTATCAAATGCTGTTTATGGCCTTCTGGCTACAGCCAAGACGGAATAAGCTGACTAAAACCTCTTTCTTTTACTGACTACAATGAACAATTCTTTTTTTTTTTTTTTGAAAAATTCTAGATAGAATATAAAAAACTATTCAAAGACTCCAAAATGAACAGGAACAGGTAGATTGAGAATTTAAGTAAAAACTTTAATAATGACTCACAATAGGAGTGAGTTTCCTTTTCTTTTTTTTACTTCTTTGTCTCCTGATTTTGACCTGAGAGTGGGCCAAGTCAAAACTGCCCAAATAGAGTAGACAGTAAAACTCTTGAGAAAAATTTTCCTTTTCTTTTTTTTTGAGATGGAGTCTTGCTCTGTTGCCCAGGACGGAGTGCAGTGGCACAATCGCACAATCTCCACTGACTGAAACCTCTGCCTCCTGGGTTCAAGTGATTCCCTTGCCTCAGCCTCCTGAGTAGCTGGGACTACAGGTGTGCACCACCACTCCCTGCTGATTTTATATATATATATATATTTTTTTTTAATATTTTAGTAGAGATAGGGTTTCACCATGTTGGCCAGGATGGTCTTGATCTCCTGACCACATGATCCGCCTGCCTTGGCCTCTCAAAGTGCTGGGATTACAGGCGTGAGCCACTACGCCCGGCCAAGAAATTTATTTATAGTCAGAGGACTAGGGATAAAGGAACCCTGAATGCTAGAGAGTAAGAAATCCCTTTGGTGTATTGTGGTATTTTAAAATTTTTTTTAATTTTTCTTCTGGCCATGCTCTGAAGGTGGCTAGCCTCAGGGTGACAGCTATGGCAACACAGGTACCTACAAATGTGAGAGATGACCTGTCTCTCTAGCCAGTGGAACCAGAAAAAGAGCTTTGTGTCATCTGGAGAGCAATAGGAGGAGATTGTTTTTGTCCTCTCTTTTCTCTATCTGCTTCACTCTTAAGGCAAGCTCAAACAGAACTGTGTGGTGGAACAGAGGTTGAAAGAAAAATACTGTCTGGTTAGGGGACCAGAAAAAGGGAGACCATTAGAGGCTTGATAGAAGAGGATCCTGGGTGCCAGAAAATGTGGAGGAAATCTTAGAGAGGAAAGGAGTTTAAAATGTTTAACTCCTAATGCTACATATGAACTATAAGTCTCCAGGTCGCCCCTGAACTATGCACATGCAGAACAGAGCCAAATAAGTACAGCAAAGTCTTTGACACCTAAGTACTATATAAACCACTGACCAAAGTCCCTGACTACGCTGGGTTGCTTATGTACCAGAAAGACCTGAACAACATAGCAAAGGCTTTGAAAACTAAACTGACAGGAGAATCACCAACTACAGAAGGAGAAAGAGAACATGTGGCATGAATTGAAACCAGCTGACCACCTACTACAACAAAAACTTTTTAACATTATCCAGATTTTAACAGGACCCAAAGTCTTAGAACATAATATGCAAAACATTCAGGATATAATCCAAAACTATGCAAAATACAAAGAACCAAGGAAAGCTGACAATTTATCTATGGAGAAAAGAAATCAACAGCTGCAAACCCCAAGATGACCAAATATTGAAACTATCAGACGAAGATTGCGAAGTGAGAAGTTCAAGAAGTTCAACAAACCCCAAACAGGATAAACTCAAATGCCCAGCACATCACAATGTCATGGTAAATTGCCCACCATACAGTTTTAAATGAAGAAAAACAGAATATAAAACTATACATAGGATGAAATCTATTGTGTCTAAAATATGTAGATGAAATACTTATATTCCATATAAACAGAAAAATTATAAAAGAAAACCAAACTGGCCAACCTATTTCTCTCTGGATGGGTACACTACAGGTGATTATTACGTTCTCATTTTTAATATCATCATGTTTCCCAGGTTTTCTGTGTCTCATATGTATTTTATAAGACTCATGAACTCTGAAAAATCTTCTAATCAAGGAGTAAAACATTAATAACTAATTTTCTCAAAAGAAT